GAGGGCAGTGCTTGCAGGTTCACCACCTGATCGCGAAAGGCCGTGGTGGGAACCTTGGGCACATATCCAGGCCGGGGTCTCAGGACAACGTGAGAGTAGGCCGGCCCGAACACAAGGCACTCTTCGCTCACCGCAAATGCTTGGAGGAAGTGAGCGCGGTCAGGAGCGCTGTCTTAGCAGAAAGGAACTTAAGCTCAACTGAGTCCAGCGGCTCAAAGGGAGCCCTCTGAAGGCCAGCCAGGACAGTAGAGAGATCCTAGGAGGGCACCAGGGGTGGCCTAGGAGGATTCAACCTTCTGGCACCCCTCAGGAACCTGACGATGAGATTGTGCTTTCCCAGGGACCAGCCATCCACTGCAATCTTGATGTGCTGCGATAGCAGCCACATTCACTTTCAAGGTGGAGGGTGACAGTCTATGCTCCAACCTTTCTTGCAGGAAAGAAAGCACTACTCCAATTGTGCATCTTCGGGGGTCTTCTCGGCAAGAAGAGCACCAGTTCACAAACAGACTCCACTTCAGAGCATAGGCTTGCCTCGTCGAGGGAGCTCTAGCCTGAGTGATCGTGTTTACCACCGCCGGTGGGAGATCATTTAAGTCTGCCGCTCTGAAGTGGAGTCTGTTCGTGAACTGGTGTTCTTCTCGCCGAGAATACCCCCGAAGATGCACAATTGGAGTAGTGCTTTCTTTGGCTGCCATATGGTGCCGAGCCCCTGAGGAAGGACCTCCTTTCTGGATGTGCCAGGGAGGGGCTGTCGCGAAGACCATGAGTTCCGAAAACCAGGTCCGGGTGGGCCAGTAAGGCGCAACCAGCAAGACATGTTCCTCGTTCTCCCTGACCTTGCATAGTGTCTGTGCGAGAAGGCTCACTGTGGGAAACGCGTACCTGCGTAGAGCCAGCTGTGTGGCAGTGCATCTGTGCAGAGGGGGGCCTCGATCAGGGAGTAATACAGCTGGCAGTGGGAGGACTCTTGGGAAGCAAACAGGTCTACCTCTGCTTCCCCGAATCGACTCCAGATCAGCCGGATCGTCTCGGGATGGAGTCGCCATTCTCCGGGGAATGTGAGCAGTCGTGAGAGAGCGTCGGCTGCACGATTGAGCTTCCCCAGAATGTGGATGGCGCACAGCGACTTGAGCTGCGTCTGACTCAAGAGGAAGAGATGACGGGCGAGCTGTGACATGTTACGTGATCGAGACAGCCACAATGTGGTCCGTGCGGACCATTACGTGCTTGTCTTGCAGCAATGGCCGGAACTGCTGCAAAGTCAAATGCACTGCCAACAGCTCTAGGCAGTTGATGTGCCAAAGCAGTCGAGGCCCTGTCCAGAGCCCCGAGGCTGCCTGCCCATTGCATGCAGCACCCCAACCCATACTGGAGGCATCTGTCATGACAACGACATGCCAGGACACTTGTTCTAAGGGCACCCTGGCCCGTAGAAAGGCAAGGTCTGTCCAGGGGCTGAATAGGTGGCGACACTCTGGTGAGATGGTGCTGTGTGATGTGTGATCACCTGTGTAATGGTAACCAGTGCTGAAGTGGTCTCATATGAAGCAATCTGAGTGGCGTGACTGTGACTGCGGGTGCCATATGCCCCAGGAGCCTCTGAAAGTGTTTCAGAGATACCACGTTCCTGCCTCTGAAGGAACTCAGGCAGTTCAGCACTGACTGGGCGCGCTCGTTGGTGAGACGCGCTGTCATAGTCACAAAGTCTAACTCCATACCGAGAAAAGAGATCTTCTGCACGGGGGAGAGTTTGCTCTTTTCCCAGTTGACCTGAAGCCCCAACTGGCTGAGGTGCCGGAGCACCAGGTCCCTGTGATCGCACAACTGCTCTCGTGACCGGGCTATGATGAGCCAGTCGTCGAGGTAGTTGAGGATCCTGATGCCCACTTCTCATAACGAGGCAAGGGCGACCTCCATAAAGACACGGGGGGACAGGGATAGCCCAAAGGGGAGGACCCTGTACTGACATGCCCGACCCTCGAACGCAAAGGGAACGGCCTGTGTCAAGGATGAATCGAGACATGAAAGTAAGCGTCCTTCAGGTCGACCGCTGCAAACCAATCCTAGGGCTGGATGCATCTGATGATGTGCTTCTGCGTCAACATCTTGAATGGGAGCTTGTGAAGGACCCGATTCAAGACTCGCAGATCCAGGATTGGCCAAAGGCCACCGCCGTTCTTGGGCACGATGAAGTAAGGGCTGTAAAACCCTGTAACCCTGTAAATCCCTCAAGCTGCCACCGAAGTCTCGAGAACGCCGCTGAACCTGGGGGTTCACCTGGTGAACTGAATCGCGTAGCCGAGTCGAATTGTCCGAATGAGCCAGCGGGACAGGTTGGGCAGCGCGAGCCAAGCTTCCAAGCGGCACCAAAGGGACAATCGACGCACCCGCGGTGGTGCAGCGGTGGGAAGTCGTGCTGGATGGCACAGAAGGCATCGCGTCCTGGCTCATCACAGCAGGACTCCCCGTGTCCCCGGAGGGAGAGGCAGCGTGTTTCTGAGCCGGGATCTCTTGGCTGCTGGCGATAGGGGGTATCGTGGGCGAGAGTGAGGGAGCAGCGCGTCGCTCACTGTCAACCCACGAGCCTGATAACCCGGAGGAAAAGGAAACTGCTCTTTTTTCGAGAATGTGGGTACCGCTGGTCATTGGACCAGTGGTGGAACAGAAACAAAACGGAACAAAAGGTTCTAAAAGAAAAGGCTTTTGTGTGCAATATTTGACATGGCGTGCACATCTCCAGCCCGATACTCACAGCTGCCCGGGAAAGCACGGCCGTCACTTCCAGGTCCGATCCCGAGTGATTTCGCTGGCCCGGCTCGTGACGGTCCTAGCATTTCATTCGCTGCGCCGCTGGAGGATCGGATGTTGATCTTCATCCTAGGAGGATGATAGCCCATCCCCCGATGCTGCGATTGACATCCGATCCTCCGGCGGCGCACGGAATTAAATGCTGGGACCGTCACGAGCCGGGCCAGAGAAATCACTCGGGAGCTGCACGGGACATTTGCTGCGGGAGGAGTGAGAGGTCCGTGGGGACGTGCCTGGCGGAGAAGCTCTCACTGTGACCCTCAGATCTCCCAGAGCTGTAGCCGGCGGTCCCCTGCTCGTGACAGGGAAACCGGGACGGGTAGAGACAGAGGGTAGCGCTTCGTTCCCCATAAGGAGAGAGAGGCGAGATCGCAACGAAGCCATGCTCATACGCTCGCAATGAACGCATGAGTCATCCACGAATGTAGCTTCAGCTTAAGGTCTGTCCAGACACTGAAGGCAACGCTCGTGGCCATCAACAGAGGACAGGTAATGACCGCAATCAAGAGAACACGGACGGAACGGCATCTTTAAAAAGACGCGAGCCGTCCGTGATGAGAAACTGCTCTTTTAGTTGAAGCACCCAGGGGAATCGTTGAATCAACAGGGACACCGCTGTTTGTGCCGTCATGCCAACCAGGAACAGCTTATTTCTTCCAGTCAGATCAGAAAGGCTTTGTGGAGAAGAAATAATTCACCCACTTGTCTCCGAAGCAAAAATCTGATGAGTGGATGCACCTGTCGCCTATTTATACCCGTATGCACGTGGAGTGGCTCAGGTATGCAAAATCCACTAGCCAAAATTAATTGCCGTTTTCTCTTAAAGTCACAGAGAATTGGGGCTTTCAAGTAAACCCCCTATCTCGTCACGACATAACTTGTAGTATTGACCAATAAGGAACTACAACTTCAGTCAACTCTCAAATTACCACGAAGAACCTTGTTTATTATGGTTAACTAAAACTAAATCTAAATATATATATATATATATATATATATATATATATGGCGTATATGTATATTTTTTTTTTATCTAATTCCCAAGGCAATTAGTTCAACTTGTACTAAAATAACTAAAATTAAAACTGTATAGACATATTAATAATACTAAAAAATGGAAAAACACACAATAGAATTACTAAAACTTTAACTAAAATTAAAATGAAAATGGAAAATATTGAAACAAAAAGCAAATTAATAAATTGATAAAATTCATCAAAAACTATAACTCAGCGATATTAAAATAGCACTGGGAAAAACTAGTTTCATAAGTTTTGGCTTATTTATGTGGCTCATATATGTTCTGGATTGGTGTGCAGGATTTCTGAGATCACTTTGGAGGTGGCTGAGGTGGGGACGCCCTCGCAGGACAGTGAAATCGCCCATCAGATTGAGAAATGTGACTGTCCTCTGGGATACGCCGGTCTCTCCTGTGAGGTAATGGCTTTTGTGTGCAATATTTGACATGGCAGAGCTGTTAAGTGCTGGAAGGTTGTGATAAGATGTGTAAAATGTTATACATTTATTACCCAACTCTCTGTTGGTCAGATCTTATAGCATAATGTTGGTCAGATAATATAGTGTAATCTCAAGCAAACGTCATAATAAAAATACTAAGGACACACATTTTCATATGTTTTATATTCATTACATTGTACGGCTGAGATTGAACTCAATCTGTTGTTCATAACATTACAAAAAGCAACTCTGAAAAGTCCCAGCAAAGTAATGCAGTTTCCAAATAGATTTAACGTGACATCCTTGTCACAATAATGAAGCCGCTTTGAGCAGTGCTGACATGCCCTTTCATAACAGGGCTCTAGAAACACAGCAGCTCTGGAAAACTGGCCGAGTGTGGAGAGACGAACAGCTGGGTGTATCGCTGCACACCGCTCATCATTACAGCAAGTGTTTCTGCTTCTCAGACTGTTAATGTGTTAAAGTGCTCTCTCGCTGCCAGTCTCCACCCACAAAGCGCTCGTGTGAGATCTTTAACAAGCTCAAGTGTGCGAGACTCCGATTACAGATCAGCGAGTGTCAGTTGTTCACATTCAGGCTGGACGAGGCCACGTGGAGACAGATGGCCCTAACTCTGAAACGCTCCATACTGTGCTTAATAAAGTATTTTTAAACAGGCGTTTAGCAAGTTCACCCTGAACAGATGGTGTACTAAATTGATGCGATTAATTTTTAAGAGCGAGGGTGAGAGGGAGTGTTGCTATGGTTTCAGCGGAGGACTATTTTTTCCCCCGTATGAACGTTAGCTGGTCTACGGTGTAACAATTTTCAGTGTGGATTTGCAGCACGTTCCTGCTTACTAGTTTAATAACAATTATTATGTGTGTCTGCAATTTGCAATTTGAGAGTTGTCTGATATATTTACACATTAACTGTAGTAGTGTCATATCCAAACGCCACAGCACTATGCTAACACATGTGCTGCAGAATGAACAAATTGTACAGATTTGTGTTTTACTATTTGCTATAATATCTATGAGTCTATGTTGTCTCCATTGTCAGGTTTTGAAAGCACATAAAGTTCACCAGAAACACATTTAACTGATAATGTTTTATTTTACTATAAAATGCAACATACAGTAAAGTGTAGAGTAATTCTGATCCTAACTTGCACTCAATAAGAGCTAATTACTAACCTTATGTACTGTACATATAATGTCTATACTAAAACTATAGCAACTGTAACACCACCATCACCACTTTTTGACTTTCCAACACAAACAACAGACCAAAACTCATTAATTTCCAATGGTGAGCAGTACGGGAGCTGTGTAAAGTTCTGACTGTATGTATATGCAAATAATTTTGGATCCGGTCTGAGCTTCAGACATGTTGAAATATTCAAATATTGGCAGCTAGACCATGTGACACCTCCTGATGTGATATATCCTAAACAAAACTATAAGCACGAGCTGAGAATTACCAATATTTATGCACTAAAATGTTATTCTTTACTATGCTTTACCTTCAAATGTATTGGCCATCATTTGTTTTGTGTGGAAATATTCAGACAGTTATTATTCATTAATTTTACCATCGTAAATAAGCAGAGGGTAAAGACCAGTTAGAAAGGTCTGTGTGACTGCCACTAGGGGACGTGGTATTTGTACACAAATTGGAGATGGCTAAAAAGGTGGCTAAAAGATTATAGTGTTAATATAATTAGTGTGTATGAGTACTTTTTACTTTAAAATTAGTGTTGTTTACTTTCTTTTAAAAGAAAGTAAAAGCCCAAATGCCCTTCAAAGGGACACTATGAAAACAGAACTATTAACACTATAATCCAACAATGCCATGCAACATGGCCATTTATATAATCATTTGTTGTATTATGAAAGAAAATTACCTAGTCTGCATTAGGGTATGTTTACACAACAACTTTATATTAAAAATGGAAAAGTTTTTCTTTGCGTTTTTAAAGATTTTTACATAAAAATGACAACGTTGTCAAAATGCTCCCTGTTCACACAGATCAGCGAAAGTGTCTAAAAGTGCTTTATTATTCATGCTAGGCCAGTAATTGGCGATGTCTCTTTGTAAAGAAACACTATGCGCCTATGCGTTCATATAGACTAAACACGTAACATGCATGTGCATGATGTCACCATTTTAGAGATTAAATGGAGTTTCTTATTGCGATTATAGTGACCAAAATTATCATGGTTATCAATATTATCACAGTATTATTAAAGTGTGCTGGAAAGTACTCATACACACTGAAATAATTTCACCAAGTTTTATGTTGAAAAACAACAAATACAGTTAGCAGCACTATGCACTTTTGTGTGTGTGTGTGTGTGTGTGTGTGTGTGTGTTTGTATGTATGTATTAGTGCTTTCAAACGATTAATCATGATTAATCGCATCCAAAATAAAAGTTTTTGTTTACATAATATATGTGTGCATACTGTGTATATTTATTATGTATATATAAATACAAACACATGCATGTATATATTTAAGAAAAATATGTTATGTTTATATATTAAATATATTTATATATAATATAAAATATAAAAATATAAATATCTAAATGTATATACATGTAAATATTTTCAAAATATATAATGTATGTGTGTGCATTTATATATACATAATAAATATGCACAGTACACATACATATAGTACACAGCTTTTATTGCGATTAATCATTTGACAGGACTAGTGTATATATATATATATATATATATGTGTGTGTGTGTGTGTGTGTATATACAGTACATACATATACGTATACACACACACGCACGCACACAACATAACATGTTATCTACTAACATGTACTACATATTCAAATAAAGTTTTATAAAATGATAAACCTCACATTTCAGTCTTTATTTGTAAAAAAGGATGTCAAAATGATAAATTATAGGCATTTTTTCTGCTTCGTAAATAATTATAAATAGGCTACCTTGCTATTCAAAGTGTTGAGATTTTTAGAATGCACATTAGCTTGTTTTCCATCTACCGGTTAGGATTTACAACAAAAAATTGGTCCAATTTTTGCATTGGTCTGAACACAAACTCCAGACAGACTGAATGAAAATGTAACTCCACTATCTGACAGCAGGTGGCGCTTATGAATAGCAGAAATAGAGCGGCTTTCACGGTAAACACTGTACACAAAGCAGCGCTGCGCTTATAAACATTACTTTATTAGACGTTACATGGAGGAAAGATGAAAAACAAATGCCATCGACACTTTTCTGAAGACAGTCGGTTGTCCCTTATGTATTCATAGAATTAATTAATTCATACATTCTTTCATAGAATTTCTTTCAGCACTCTGTCTTGCGTTATGTTTTCACACAAAAACAAACCTACACTGTTGTGCCTGCGTGAGACTCTTACTAACTTTGCTTAACTCTGAGCAGTATTTACCTCGAGTTTTTCAAATCGCGGTAATCAAATACGGTTTTAATAATGCTTAAAAAATGAAATGGTAATACTAACTGTCAGGACTTTTTATTGTGGTTTATCATCAAACTGGTCATAGGCCTATCCCTACACAGTTTTCACAAATTTACGTTTTTGTAGTTTATACTGAGACAGTAACAGTATCGTTTTCAAAAACTTGCACTTTGAAACCTATTTTCGAAAGTTTGTGTTTTCAGGCAACCAAAACGCAATTGTCGTGTAAATTAATGACCAAAGCACATAAAAGTTTTCCATTTAGTTGAAAACAGTGTTGTGTAAACACCCCCTTAGTGTCACATTAATATGATGAATATATGATTTTATTGTGAGAGGTTGCGGTAAGATCCTGCTGATGTAGTACGGTGTGTGCGTGCGAGTAACTATATGTCTGCTGTAGGAATGTGCGGCTGGGTTCTACAGGCTCTCTGTTCATGCCGGTGGGGCCGCGTCCAGAGTGGGATTTGGCACCTGTGTCCGGTGCCAGTGCAATGGACACAGTGACTCGTGCGATCCTAAAACAGCCGTCTGCCAGGTACGTACACCCTTAATGAAAGCGTTTGTGAGCTGCATTACTCTGATTGGACCATGTCCTTCCTGATTGTATTGGCTTGAGTGAGTGTCTCCCATTGGTGGAGAGTTGAAGTAGCATTGCACTCAGAATATCTCAGCAATGGTATCACTAGCTATGTTTCCATCACCCTATTTTAATGCGCATTTTGAAGTATTGCATGAGAAACGAGTGATGGAAACACCAAATTTTGAATAAAAATCCCTTAATTCGCAAAAAAATGTTTTTACACTCGCTTGAGGTGGTTTCTGACTTGTGCGAAAAAGGGTTGATGAGAATAATGGGAGATGGAAATGCATTTTGCGAATAAATTCCTCCAAGTGACTTTGCGCTATGGGACGGTAAATCCTGACTAACCAGCGGACCGATCTCATTCCACAGCGTCTGAAATGTTATGGTCATTCTGAAATCCCTGAGCAAAGTCTGTCATCAAAGTATTTCTGTATAATTGCCTCCCAGAAATGTCTTACACGACTTCGTTCCCAAACAGCAGCATCCACCTCCAAAAGCAGTGACCGCATTCATTGTGTTTCGTCTGCTCGCTCTGAGGCGCAAGTAATTTATTATATATGAAAATTATCTTTTCTTAGTGATTTATAGTGCCAGTTTATCAGGAAGTGACGATTTTGTTCTCTTTGACTCGTTGGATGGAAACGATGCTTGTTCGCAAATGTTTTATGCGATATTCCAGTTTTGCGCATAAGTTAAATTTGTAACTTTGGATGGAAACCCGGCTAATGAACTATTATCCAATATCCATTTTCCAACTAAATGGTGCTGGAGCCAGTTTTCAGCCAGGGTGTCTTTGAACCGCTCTCAGAACTGGCTTGCATTTCCAGGCCAAGTGATGACAAAAGAGCTGCCCAGAACCTGCTTTTCTGCAGTGGAAATGTAGATTGGGCCAGACTGGATCCAGCACCGCATTAGTGGAAAAGAGATACAAGTAAAGCACATTAGAAGAATCAGGTCCGTTGAGTCCATTAGTCCAGTGCAAAGTGGACATGCAATCAAATAGTTCTCCAAACAGCTTTTCCAGAGTTGTGCATCGAACAGTCAACCCTCTGCCTTTTTTTTAGCAATATAATTTGCATTTTATGGGTTTTCGCAAATTGAAAATGGTAAACGAGTGTGTAGGGGGGTAATTTGAGTAATTGAGCTACACAGGAAGTTAATGAAAGTTTCAAAGCGACACGGCCCAGTAAAGCGCAACTTCAGCAGTCTGATTACACTCCATTCTGAAAGCTGCCGCTCCTCTGTGCCTCTTTCTCTCTGTTTTTCCTCTCATTCTTGGTGTGTGACTTGGGCAACTGGAGAAATGCAAATCTTTAACTGGGGCCAGCTTTCTGTTCATAATGTTGCATTTTAACAAGATTAAGAGAGAGCTTTATGTTTTCGTTGAAAAGCTGCATTTGTATCGATTCTGTCTGTAATGAAATTAAGCTGTCGTCTTGTTGCAACATTACGCATCTTTTGTCTTACCAGTGTGATTACATGCCGTAACTCGGGCTGTCAATCAAGCAACGATTTAAATTTAAACCAGATGCACTGCAATTCATTGCATAAATCGATATTTGCTGTCCCAAAATGAAAATGACTCACAGACATCATCATGCATTATTTTAAAGGAAAAATTAAGCACAGATATGAAACACAGTGTCATGTTATGTGTAATTAAACTTAAAAAGTGAGTATCAAACCCTGCATTCTGCTGCATTCTGTTGCACTCTGTCCAGCTGTTTCTGTAAGATTGTGAGCTTTGCATTCATTCTGCGCCGTCTGCTCTCAGTAAATCTGTTTTCACTGACTGCAGACTGAAAAAAGACAATTATCTATTATGGAATTGTTTCAAAGCAGTTTTACAGAGAGTTGTATAAGTCAAATGTGTTAGTGCTTTAGCATGGAGCAGTTTTAGGGCTGGATGATATGATGAACAATGATACAAGTGATCCTACAGACTTAGATTTAGCTGTATTTATAGTGTTGTCTAGCACATGTATCAGTGCAGCAGTGAAGATGAAGATATTTAAATATTGGCTGGTTTTGTTCAAAGCAAGGGTAAGCGATTCTCAAAAAAGATGAATGAAAATAAGATCAGATGTCACAGATGAAAAGTCATAAGGGATGGTTAAGGCATTGAAACAATTCTCAGAAAACACTGATAAAGATACAATCTGTTGTCTTAAGTGAAAACTAGATGCTTATCAAAGAGTCTGATGTGAGTTTAATATTTTGCAACATCTTTAATTAGAAGTCATTTATGTGTTAAGAAATATAGGATATGACTTTCATTTTACTTAGTAGCATCTCTGATTTTAGACTGAATTATTATAACATGGTGGCATTACTTACTGTGAGCTGTTAGAAAGTCAACACATAATTATTTAATTGTGCAGTAAACATGGTTTAATTGTGTTTATTACTGTTTTTAAATGATTAATCATGCTAAATGCATCAAATTGGCAGCTGTAGTTATAACAGTATTATTACATGTTATAAAGCTTTATGTGTGTGTTTATGCTGTTTTGTTCTACTAGAATTGTCAACATAACACAGTTGGTGATAAGTGTGAGCAATGTGCGGCAGGGTTTTACGGCGTAGTGCGTGGCTTTCCCGACGACTGCAAACCCTGTGCTTGTCCACTCCTCAACCTGGAGAACAAGTATGTGACACACACACACACACACAAACACAAACACACACACACAAACACACTCTGACACACAAACACACACACACATACAAACACACTGACACACACACAAACTCACTCCGACACACACACACACACACTCTGACACACAAACACACACACACACAAACACACTCTGACACACAAACACACACTCACACACACACGCACTCTCAAACACACACACACGCACACACACACACACACACTCTGACACACACACACAAACACAGACACACACACACACAAAGTCTAACTTTCGCAGTGTTTCTCTCAGCTTTAGTCCCACCTGTCAGACGGAGGGTTTTAATGACCGCTGCACCGCCTGTCCTGAAGGCTATGAGGGAAAACACTGTGAAAGGTGAAAACATATTTCTAAATGATGTAAAACAAGTCATTACTTACATAGCCGAATCTGTCAATAAAGTGTTGAAAATGAGCGTGCAGTGTTGAATGAGAGTCAAATCTTAGTAATTTTTACCAGAGGCCTGATAATGTGATTGCACTCTGTGCAGGTGCGCTGCTGGTTTCCACGGTAACCCGAGCGTGTTGGGCGGCCGGTGCGAGGAGTGTAAGTGCGATGCTTACGGTGCATTTCCCTCCGCGTGTGATCCGCGCTCCGGACAGTGCCGGTGCCGTCCCGGAGCCAGCGGCCTGAAGTGTGACCAGTGCATGGAGAGGCATGTGTGTGGCCCTCAGGGCATCGTGTGTACGTATGACACAAAACATGAGCCACTCTTTGACCCTGAGCCTTCCCTTGACATGTGCTGGCAAAATGAGTCACAATGAGCACATTTTCAAAAATTAGTTTTTGAAGTTTTCAATTAAAAGACCTTCAAAATGATATATGTGACCCTGGAGCACAAAAGCAGTCATAAGTAGCATGGTTATATTTGTAGCAATAGCCAACAATACATTGTATGGGTCAAAATGATCAACCATAAATCATTAGGACATTAAGTAAAGATCACGTTCCATGAAGATATTTTGTAAATTTCCTACCGCAAATATATCAAAACTTAATTTTTGATTAGTAATATGCATTGCTAAGGACTTAATTTGGACAACTTTAAAGATGATTTTCTTAATATTTAGATTTTTTGCACCCTAAGATTCCAGATTTTCATATAGTTGTATCTCAGCCAAATATTGTCCTATCCTAACAAACCATACATCAATGGAAAGCTTATGGTAACACTTTATTTTAAGGTGTCCTTGTTACACACGTTACATGTACTTACTATTATAATAACAATAAATTATGCATAATTACATGCAAGCAACCCTAATAATAACCCTAACCATACAGTAAGTGTATGTAGTTCATTAATATCACTCAGTACTTAAATGCATAATTACAGTGTAACAAGGACACCTTAAAATAAAGTGTAACCAAGCTTATTTATTCAGCTTTCAGCTGATGTGTAAATCTCAATTTCAAAAAATGTACCCTTATGACTGGTTTTGTGCTCCAGGGTCACGTATGAGTTGTTGGAATTGGACAAAAAATGACTGAGCTACAGCCGTTTGAAGTCGATAGAGTACTACAAAAGCAGTTCAATCAAGTGATTCCCTCTTTTCTTTTATTGTTAGACTAACATTAATGAGACAGACAGCCTATTAAGACCTACTATTTTGCACAGATCTAATATAATGTTACACATCAGCTGTTTTCCCTAACAGTTCCCCAAATGTTCACTTAAGACACAACTGATTATGTTTGCATGAATACAAAATCGAAATGTTTCCCTTTTTTTCTTTTTTTTTTTTGCCTGTAGTTCAAAATTAGACCCTGTGCATTCCGACTCATTTTGCCAGCACGGGTCACATATGATTAACTAAGTTAGGTCGATCTGATTTATTCCTCTGTGTCTTTGTTTCTTCTGCCATAAACAGCCACTAATAACAGAGAAGAGATGCAGCCAAAACAAACAACATTTTAATTAGACATGCTCAGATTTTCCCCTCACAAAATTACTGTTTACTTTTCGTATAATTGTTGACTGATCATTTTCTCAGCTTGGAGAGATCAGATTGCATTGCTGCGCTAGACACCTGCTCCTCACCACGCGGTTTGAAATCATGTCTTTTAGCAGTTATGTGTTTTATCGTAATTGTATTGGTTGACTGGGCAGATTGGGTAATAATGCATGTGTTTGTCTGTGTATGTGTGATGTGTGATGTGTGTTGCTTCATAATCCAGCATCAAATGTATCAGGGATGTCATTTTTTTAATGGATTTTTGTGTTTTCCATCCTGAGAAGCATGACCAGCGTGACTACATTAGTGTAGTAATTTATTGATCCGTAAAATAAGAAAATAAATAATAATAATAATTATTATTTATCTTATGCATTTAAAATAATTACTGTACAATATAATTAACTGTACAAACTATGTTGTTGCAATAGTAATATATTCTTATGTTAATTTATTTTGTTTTTTTCATAATTTAAATAATTATTATTTTTCTGTGTGTGCACATTTGTGTGAGATGATGATTAATGATATTATTGATTATTGATACTGATTTTTTTTTTTTATGAGTTTATTTATTTCACTGTACAATAGTAGTTCAATATAGTTTTTCAATAAAATCTTTAGGACTCAATAAAATCTGATTTATACAAAATAATAAAATAAAAAGTATAAAAATGTATAATATAATATAATATAATATAATATAATAAATAACATAATATAATATAATATAATATAATATAATATAATATAATATAATATAATATAATATAATATATAAAAAACCTTTAATAATCATAATAATAAAAACGTAATACAACTCAAACAACTTGACTATATTAGAGTACATACAGTTTTAAAAGTATGACCGCAGGACATTAAACTTGTTAGCATTAGATTTATGAGGTAAAATGACTTGGAAATATTCGGTCGGTGTAGCACAAATCATGTAAAGCCAGTAATATGTGCAGAATATGAATATGCACAGAATATGTGCAAAGGCTGGTTACACCACTTACCTTGTGGTTATCAGCCGTCTCTACTAATCTGACTCTTATAACTTATTTTCCTTCAAGTTTATCCTGGTTCCCTTAGACTGTCATTGTTAATGCATTAAGCTATATGCAATTTATTTTACCCTGAGGAATGAGTGAAAATATTTTGTTTAATATGGAGGCACCACCCTGCTGTAAAGATTGATAATTGAGATTTGGCTTTCATGAACTCTTCAGTGCAGCGCTTTTCCTTCCAGGTCTTTCCGCACCTTTACTCGTTCCGTCTTTTGCGTGAAAAGGCATCTTCACAGGAAGTCTTAATAGCTCTATTTTTTCAAGAGGTTAAATTGAGCGGCGTTTTGCGTCCGCGGCGAAAGCTACGCGCCTGTCGGTGTCTTTTTTCCTCCCGCTATCGCTTGTAGCATGTCAAACACTCATAATGGGCTGCCAGGAGCTGTTTCACACTCTCTGTTAAATTTCACGCTTGAGCAGTCCTGCTCCCCTGAGTTTCCACCTCGCTCACGTTTAATCTAGAGAGAGAGAAGTGCTCGGGGACACGGCTCTCCCTCCGAGCAGGTGATGGAGATGATGGAGGGATGCTGGATGAGTGCTGTTGTGATAGCAGAGGAAGAGAGACAAAAGAGGCCAGGAACATTCGTTACCAGCATTCTTGCCCCAGGACCTGTCCATCCTTGGCCCTATTCACAAGCACTCATCCTGTACATATGCCTGATCAAATATGACTGCTCTACAAACAGTGTTGGGCAAGTTACTCTGAAAATGTGATTAAATTACTGATTACTGATTACTCCTTTTAAAAGTAATCACGTTACTGTTCTGATTACTTTATTTCAAAAGTAATTAGTCGCATTATTTTTTTCTGTGGCTACATCCATGAAATGTACATGAAATCCCAGCATAAAAGCTCCTGATAAATATTTGTTATTACTCGACAGTGCGTGTGCTACACCCTTTTTACAATCTCTAAATGATAAAACACTGCATTCTGTCAGCAATGTAACGCGGCAGTAACGTATAGAGACCTCGGCTTGTAACTATACTCTAATTACTATTTTGAAAATGATAATGCGTTAAATTACACCGTTACTAAAAAAGTAATCAAATTACAGTAATGCGTTACTGCCCAACACTGTCTACAAGTATGTGCACTCCTTTTTATTTTGCACTTGAGTAAACGTACAACTAGTGTAGCTCAAGTGTGTAATTCCTATGTGACTAAGGCCTCAAAATAGGGCTGCAAGAATAATGACTGGTTTACTGAACACTCCCCCCTTCTGTCAATCAATCAGATAGCTCCGCCCCAAACTTTTTTTTTCAGTTATTGTTATTATTATCTTATTATTATTTTTTTACTAGTTTGTATTCTGTATTTTCTGTTTTCCTATTAATTTTAGTTAATTTTAGTCATTTTGTTGTGTTTTGTTATTTTTATTAGTTATTTTTGAATTAGTTAAGGTTTTGTTAGCTGTTTTTTTAAGTATGTTTTTATTATTATTATTTATTTTTGTATTTTTTCAGTTTTAGTTTTAGATATTTTAGTACATCAAGTTAAACTAAATGAAAATGAGAAATGTAGCTTTGGCACCTAGCTGAAATAAAACGCTTAAGTGTTTTATATTTTATTTTATTTCAGTTAACATTTCAAATAACAAAACTGTGTTTTATGGTTTAGTTTTAGTTAATAACCCTGATGAAAAGAACTGGCTTTGACTTTTTTGTTTGTTTTGTTTAGTTTTTTGTTTTTTGTTTTTTTGTGTTTTGTGTTTTGTGTTTTGGTTTGGTTTGTTTTGTGTTTAGTGTTGTTTGTTTTGTTTTGTTTTGTTCTTTCACTAATCACATGTCATTATTATTCATTTTGCCCTGAAATAATGCAGAACAGTGTGTTTGTAGATAGTGGAGTAAAAGTAACATTTTGTCAGGATGGAAATACTCTGATACTCTGAGTTAAAAATACTTTGTTACTGTCCACTAATGTTCACATGTACTGTTTACTGTCTGCCCTGAGGCTGGTGCCTGACCTTTGACCCTTGACCTTGAGCATGCATATGCGTATCTGAGGGTTGTTGTTTTTTTCCGTGTGACCTTGTAAGGATGTGTGCAGTGTGTTGTAGTGCTGCCTGTGGGGTGTGTGTGCATGTGTTACTATATGAGTCTGATGTGTTGCCATGTGTTCAATTTTCTGTGTGTGTGTGTGTGTGTGTGTGTGTGTGTGTGTGTGTGTGTGTGTTCTGGTATTCATCACATTGTGGGGACATGAGTCTGTTTACACAGTCACGTCATGGGGACCTCTTGCGTTGTGGGGACCAAAAGTCAGGTCCCCATAAGGGAAAGCCATATAAATGACTAGAGGAGCTGTTGCGAAGGTGCTGGGTGGAGTTTCAGCGTTGGCTCATAACACACGTTTATCCATGAATGTGTGAGTGTGAAGTGTGTGTGTGTGTGTGTTCAGCGTGTGACGACGACTGCGCGGGACTCTTGATTCGAGACATGGATCGTCTGCTGCATTTGATTGGCAGCGTTAATCTCACTCTGCCCCTCCCCCTGCCGTATAAAGTGCTGTATCGATATGAGAACATGACGGAGGAGTTGAAGGTGAGCACTAATTTACAGGATGTGTTATTAAATTCAGAGATGATCAATCAGATTCATAAATTCAATAGCAAAATGGATTGCTGCTGAATAGGCCAGTGATAGAATGATATGAAATACAGGAACAGTGAACTGACTAGTAGTCACTTGCTGTATAATTAATGATTTACACAACACAGTAATTTCATCCAATTATCTTCATTTGAGGACTTTTCTCTGCAGAAAGAGATATTTGCAATTAATTGTGATGAATTAATCTGCACATCATGTTATTGAGTTAAAACCTTTTAATCAACTGACAGTCCTAATTTTTTAGATTTCATTTAAAAAATACACATGAAAAAACTGCGCAAAAATGTCTGTAAAATGTTTTCTGGTGCAACATTGATTGGTTGCATGCTCCACCTTAATACCCAGGTGAAAAAAAAGTACATTTCTATTATGTACTTAAAGTGCTCTATGTTGCGCACTAATTTTGTACTTAATATACTAAAAATGATTCTTTAGTACTTCTTAAGATAAACTTAAGATCATCTAAGTGTACTCAATTGTGCTATTTTGGGACACCGTGAATATGAACTAAAATGCACTTTACTATCTCTGTATTTAAAAAATGTGTTTAGTTACCACTTGTAGTACACTTGAACCATCTTTCATACACTAGTACACTCAAGTGTACTACAAGCGGTGACTAAGTACATTTTTTAAATACAGAGATGGTATGTTAAAAGCACAGTTTAGTTCATATTCACGGTGTCCCAAAATAGCACAGTTGAGTACACTTAGATGATCTTTAGTTTATCTCAATAAGAATCATTTTTAGTATAGTAAGTAAAAAATTAGTGTGCAAAAATAGAGTACTTTAAGTATATTATAGAAATGTACTTTTTTCACCTGGGTCGTGACACAGAGAAGCTGAAAAAGAGTTAAAGTCAGCACTAGAAAGTAAAGTATAAAGTCTTGAACACAGACACTATAGCAGTAATTGTGCTGTACTTGAAGTTGAAGCTCCGGTAAGACAGCAGGTTCATTTGGAGAAGCTCTAATTACGTCAAATGGACTCATCTGCTGCGAATTAGCATCTATATTTGAGTTGTTTACAATATAGTTTTCCACGTATAGTTTGCAATCACGTTCATGATTGAGTGATGTCAAATGAGGCCTGTAATGTGAGTGTGAGTGTGAGTGTGAGTGTGTCTGTGTCGGTCAGTGGTGTGTTGATGGCAGTGACGTATGTTTGCAGCACATGCTGTCCCCTCAGAGAGCCCCGGCGAGACTGCTGCAGCTGGCCCACAGTAACCTGGGCAGTCTGGTCACTGAGATGGACGAGCTGCTCAGCAGGGTGAGTCTCTCACACCGTAAACATCTGAGCCTGTATTCACAAAACATCTTAAGGCTAAAAGTAGCTCATAACTCGCCGATTTAGGAGAAAATCTTAAAAGGGGCCTGTCAGTCCTAAATTTAGGACTCCTAGAGTATTTCACAAAGCGTTGTAGCGCTAAAACTAGCTCATAAATCTGTGAAACGTTAGGAGCAATGAAGAGGACTCATAAGTCACTAAGACCAAGCCAAAAACTATCCTTAAATGGCTGTTGCTGGCAGTTTGATTTTGGAGGTTATCCCAACTCCAGATTTTCCTTTGATTATATCCTTGTTTTCATGAATCAGCTCGGCAAGAAGTAACAGCTGTGCTTGCGTCCAGTTTGGTTTTCTTTTACGTTTGCATGTCTTACTATCAGCTGTGATTATTCTACTCTGTTAATTAAAAGGCTGTTTATATGCATATCCGCTAATTGTTTACGAGGAGCATACATGTAAGAGGCTGACAGTTAGCTGAACATATACTTGTTTAATTAGTGACTCTTAGCCTGCATTTTAAAATCTTAATGTGGGAACATAATATCGCGCTCTGCAATATTTCTATGAATAAATCTCTGACAGAGACACTTTACTGCTATTTAGGAGAACTCTTAGTGGTAAGATAAAATGTTTTGTGAATACAGGCTCTGATCTATTCAGTCCTTACAGTAATGACTCCTTCACTTACCGTAAACCATCTAAATTCAGCATCAAATTTAGTGCCAGCTGAAAGTGCATGCATGCAAACATCTCCTGGTGGCCTTCGTTGAGTCTAAATGTGTGGGTTTTTTAAACATTGGTATTATTAGGAATTGAACCATGTGACTCTACATTAAGTTTTATTTATTTCACAGTAACATAAAAGAGACATTTGGGGCACAGAGTCTCTTCTGCTCATCTAGGATTCATTTATTTGGTCAAAAATACTTGTACAAATTTGAAACATTATTGCATAAGATAGCTGTTTTCTATGTGAATATAAGTTCAAATGTAATTTATTTCTGTGATCAAAGCTGTGATCATGTATTTGTGAATGTAATTTTCAGCATCATTACTCCAGTCTTCAGTGTCACATGATCTTCAGAAATCATTCTAATATACTGATTTGGTATAGTTTGCAATCACGTTCATGATTGAGTGATGTCAAATGAGGCCTGTAATGTGAGTGTGAGTGTGAGTGTGAGTGTGTCTGTGTCGGTCAGTGGTGTGTTGATGGCAGTGACGTATGTTTGCAGCACATGCTGTCCCCTCAGAGAGCCCCGGCGAGACTGCTGCAGCTGGCCCACAGTAACCTGGGCAGTCTGGTCACTGAGATGGACGAGCTGCTCAGCAGGGTGAGTCTCTCACACCGTAAACATCTGAGCCTGTATTCACAAAACATCTTAAGGCTAAAAGTAGCTCATAACTCGCCGATTTAGGAGAAAATCTTAAAAGGGGCCTGTCAGTCCTAAATTTAGGACTCCTAGAGTATTTCACAAAGCGTTGTAGCGCTAAAACTAGCTCATAAATCTGTGAAACGTTAGGAGCAATGAAGAGGACTCATAAGTCACTAAGACCAAGCCAAAAACTATCCTTAAATGGCTGTTGCTGGCAGTTTGATTTTGGAGGTTATCCCAACTCCAGATTTTCCTTTGATTATATCCTTGTTTTCATGAATCAGCTCGGCAAGAAGTAACAGCTGTGCTTGCGTCCAGTTTGGTTTTCTTTTACGTTTGCATGTCTTACTATCAGCTGTGATTATTCTACTCTGTTAATTAAAAGGCTGTTTATATGCATATCCGCTAATTGTTTACGAGGAGCATACATGTAAGAGGCTGACAGTTAGCTGAACATATACTTGTTTAATTAGTGACTCTTAGCCTGCATTTTAAAATCTTAATGTGGGAACATAATATCGCGCTCTGCAATATTTCTATGAATAAATCTCTGACAGAGACACTTTACTGCTATTTAGGAGAACTCTTAGTGGTAAGATAAAATGTTTTGTGAATACAGGCCCTGATCTATTCAGTCCTTACAGTAATGACTCCTTCACTTACCGTAAACCATCTAAATTCAGCATCAAATTTAGTGCCAGCTGAAAGTGCATGCATGCAAACATCTCCTGGTGGCCTTCGTTGAGTCTAAATGTGTGGGTTTTTTAAACATTGGTATTATTAGGAATTGAACCATGTGACTCTACATTAAGTTTTATTTATTTCACAGTAACATAAAAGAGACATTTGGGGCACAGAGTCTCTTCTGCTCATCTAGGATTCATTTATTTGGTCAAAAATACTTGTACAAATTTGAAACATTATTGCATAAGATAGCTGTTTTCTATGTGAATATAAGTTCAAATGTAATTTATTTCTGTGATCAAAGCTGTGATCATGTATTTGTGAATGTAATTTTCAGCATCATTACTCCAGTCTTCAGTGTCACATGATCTTCAGAAATCATTCTAATATACTGATTTGCTGCTCACGAAACATTTCTGATTATTATCAGTGTTGAAAACAGTTGTGCTGCCCAAATAAATAAATATATGTACATTGGAAATTGAGATACATTTTATTTTTTCTTTAAAATACTTTGGTAAAGAACAGCATTTCTTTGAAATAGCATTTTTTGTGACTTTTTTAATGTCTTTAATGTCACTGTTAATTTAATCCATGTTTTCGGAAAAAAAAAAAAGTCTTTTTTAATCTTACTTACCCCAAACTTTTGAATGGTAGTGTATCTTGGTTTCCACAAAGATATGAAGCAGCACAACTGTTTTCAACATTGATAATAATCAGAAATGTTTCTTGAGCAGCAAATCAGTATATTAGAATGATTTCTGAAGGATCATGTGGCACTGAAGACATGAGTAATGATGCTGAAAATTACATTCACAAATACATTCAAATAGAAAACAGTTATTTTAAATTGCAAGAATATTTTTATAAATAAATAAATTCACACATTTTGTTGTTGTCAGGGTTCGCTACTGTGAGGAGCGAGGAGACGTAGGAGTTACACCACACGAGAGTCTTTAATAATCCAAATCACAGGGAAAACAGGGCATGCAGGAGACACACATAGCACCAAACGCGTCCTCGCGCCGAAGAAACAACAGAAGGAGGGATGGGTGGGAACTTGGGAGGAGGTTCAGGAGGAGGACGGACACCCGGGAGGGGGCCGACAGACAGAGTCCAGGGAGGTGACGATGGAGGGAGGAGCCAAGGAGGAAACAGGAGGAGCCAGGGCGGATCAGATGGAGAGAGGAGCCAGGGAGACGACAGGAGGGACTTGGAGCATGCAGCGCCAGGTGGGACCCAGGCCACAGCCGTAATGGGGACCCACGGTGGAGCCAACGGAGGGAGGAGCCATGGTGGAGGAAGGGCTGAGAACTCCAGGGGCCGACCAACGGCGGCAGAGCAGGTGGCGGAGGAGCCCGAGGCGGAGACGGAGAGTCGATGAGCCAGGGCGACGAAGAGGATCCGGAGGGCCAAGGCAGAGCAGATGGCTCAGGCGACCGTTATGGAGGCGGGGATTCAGAAGGCCGCGGTGGAGCCGGAGCGACAGAGGACCAAGGTGGAGCTGAAGGGAAGGAGGAGCCTGACGGAGTCGGAGGGACGAGGCACAGCCGGAGGAGTGGAGTCCCGATGCGCAGAATGGTCGACGACAGACCAAGATGAAGCCGGAGGGACGAGGGAGCCCGGTGGAGCCCGTGGACTGATGGGCCATGGCGGAGAAGAGGGTGCTAGGAGCCATGGTGGAGCCGCTGGGTGGACGGGCCGAGGCGGAGCCCGGGGCTTAGAGGCTGGAGGCGGAGGCAAGAGCTTCTCCAGCCACGTCGACGATGGAGACTGGCAGACCCGCGGAGCTCGCACCGTACAGATGGTGGGCTGAGGGCGAGCAGAGGGGCTGCCAGACGACAGAGGGGGAGGAGGCAGGAGCAGGCTGGTGGGTGGGCATTTGTGAGCCTCCGGGCTTTCAGGGCTGATGTGCATTGCCCACACACACCAAATTGCGACTCCCAGCACGGGGAGCGCGACTGACAGGGGATTGACAGGTCTCCACTCGGGGACACAGTCTTTCTCTGAGCAGGACGTGGAAACAGGAGCCCTCTCTGGGCTGGACGGGGGGACAGGAGCCCTCACTGGGCTAAACTCAGGAACAGGAGCCCTCTCTGGGATTGACAGGGAAACAGGAGTCCTCTCCATGCTAAACTCAGGAACGGGAGCCCTCTCTGGGCTAATCTTAGGAACTGGAGCCCTCTCTGGGCTGGACATTGAAACAGGAGCCCTCTCTGGGCTAAACTCAGGAACGGGAGCCCTCTCTGGGCTAATCTTAGGAACTGGAGCCCTCTCTGGGCTGGACATTGAAACAGGAGCCCTCTCTGGGCTAAACTCAGGAACGGGAGCCCTCTCTGGGCTAATCTTAGGAACTGGAGCCCTCTCTGGGCTGGAAGTGGAAATGGGAGCCCTCTCTGGGCTAAACTCAGGAATGGGAGGGACAGAGGTCACTGACGGAGGAGGGAGGAGAGGGGGCAGGTCGGTATACAAGTCAATAAGGTCTCCTTCCGCTTTCCATTCACCCAGATCCATTCTCAGCTCACCCTCAGCCACAGTGCAGGGGGCAGAGCTCCTCTCTGCGCTCTCTCTGTCTGTGGTTTTCTCCCTCGTGGCGGGCGTTGTAGCCGGCTCTCGCACCTGGTCTGACGATCCGTGAGGCTCTGGCTCCGTGGCGATCCTCAGCTCTGTCGCACTCCTAGGCGATGGCTCGTTGGTTGCGACGGGCTCTGGCTCTCCGTCAGTGGTGGGCTCAGGCTCTTGCTCCGCGCAGCGGGGTGATGGTGGGCTGGGCTCTGGGTCTGGCTGTGTTCTGGATCAGGGGTAGCCGCTTTCCAGACACCAGATGATTGCCTCCCTCCAGCACAGTCCGGTGGTGTCTGGGAGGTCGACGAGGCGGTAGTAGTTGGCCCTGATCCAGAACAGGGAGTTCAGGGCAGCGTCGTCAAACGCCGTTAAAACGGCGAGCTGGCTGAACTCCACAGCATACTCCAAGAAGGGAAGGTCTTTACAGGCAAGGGAGGTAAACTTAGAGGCGAGGGGATCCATGGGTTACACAACGGAAACAAAAAACACTGTACGAAACACGGAAAACAAATGAAGGGGAAAACGCAAATAAAGTATTAGGTTCGGAGAGAATTAACCTAATTAATGAGACACACTTGAGATCAATCAAAAACAATCGGAACAGGAACAGGAAGATAACCAAATATGGGCATGTCACACACAAGGGAAAACTAGGTCAATGGGAGCACATGGGGAGCAAAACACACACAGACCGTCCATATTTCTGACAGTTGTCTACTGGTTATATAAATCATAAGACAGTTTGTATATCTTGAGCACAGTTTGAGGTCTCATTCGTATAGACTGTATTGTACATCTATGAATGCAGACATTTTTTTTATTCCTACGTTTATACTTCTACAGCAAAGTGAATGGGCATGTTTTCTGAAGCTGGGCTCCAATGGTTCTTGTGTAAATCTGTATTTTACATATAACGTCTGAATCACTCCTGTAAGACCCTGAACTTGCCGGTTTGTTTTTCAACATGAAAGAAAGCCAGAACATTAACTTGTTCATAGTCTGAAGTGTTCTGCTCATTTGTGCAGAAGGGAACCTTTCACCTTCTTCTCAACAGAAGTCCTTGATAAACTCATTATAGTTCAGCTCTAAAGCAGCTTTTTCAGAGAGCAGACGTTCAAGAGCCAGTTCAGTAGAAAACTTCTGTGCTCACAAACATTTCTGCCAAACTGGAAGTATTGCGGTTTTGCAGCATTTCTTTGAGCTTTTGCTCATGTTGGCCCCAGAGGTGTCAGATCTAATGTGTCTTGTTGTTTTTATCCTGAGGTTGGTTTCTTCTTCACACGGCTGCAGAAGAGCATGTGAGGCTGATCTGAGACTGTTCGATAAAATCTCACTGCGCTTTCATTGGGTTTTTCTCTCATGCAGACGACTAAAGTGTCTGCTGATGGGGAGCAGACGGCAGCAGATGCAGAGCGGAGCCGTAAAGGAGCCGAGGACCTGGAGCTTTACATCAAGAACACACTGCTGGCTGCTGAAGGTACCAACAAATGACAAACTGAGGAGATGGATTTGGCTGGTCCAGCTGACAGAGCTGGGTATAACTGTTAACATCTAATCTGGATTACATAATCAGATTCCCAAAATGTAGTACTTGTAAGTAAATTAAATTACATTTTAAAATACTCTGAATCAGACTACAGTTACTTTTTTATTGATTACATGATTACATATTATTCATACACTCTTAACAATAGAGGTGCTTAAAAGGTTCTTCACAGCGATGCCATAGAACAGGGGTGGCGAACTCCAGTCCTGGAGAGCCGCAGCCCTGCAGAGTTTTGGTTCCACAAAGAACCATTCAGTCAAATCATCTCTTTCTTACCTTTTTATAATCGGAAGATGTTAAAGGTTCTTTATGGAACCATTTAGACAAAAAGGTTCTTCTATGGCATTGTGAAGCACATTTATTTTTAAGAGTGTACTTTATTGACTCTCCCTAATTTCTTTTTCTTCTTTTATATGTTTCTTTCTCAAATCGCCTACTGCTTGTATATATTCAGAAAGTCCAGTTTTGTGGACATTCACACAGACATCAGTCATTAGTCAGGTGGATATAATTACACAGGATTTTGAGAGGCCACACAGCATTTGACCACTGGATTTACAAAAATCATTTCAATTTTATGAAGCGTTTTGTAGCATTATTACATGAACTACTGATGAACACAGAAAAATTGTATTTTAATTATCACTCGGAGGGTTATTTAATCATGTATTACTTTGTCTTTGGAAGACTTTTGTCCTTCAAACACATTAAAATGCACACATTCACATTATTTCTTATTTATTTCTTATGTAATGCAGGGATTCCCCGACTTTTTTTGTCATCCGAACCTCTTTCACCTAATATATTTACTTGAAGTAGCCCTGAGGTTTTAAAACATGACACGCAAAAAAAACAAATAAAATAACTAAAATATTTAATAATTTTTTAGTAAGCGTTTTATTTTTATTTTATTTTGATGGTTTTTTTTTTTTATAATTTATTTTAATTTTACTTTTTTTATTTAATTAATTATTTGCTTTTCATTTAACTCACGAACCTCCTTCGGTTCATTTTCGAACCCCAGTTTGGGAAACCTTGACGTAATGTAATATTTAATGCACTTCATGTTGTCAATAACAACAAATGGAATATATTTTCTTTTTCTTTGCATTTTTATATCAATATGGTACAAGATTATTCTATTGAAATCAATGTGATAAACAAGTTAGGTCAAAAGTAGTCTAAAAGTAATCAAAAAGTAGTCTGATTATGTTAGCTAAAATGTGTGATGTAATGAATTACGTTACTAATTACAATTTTTGTCATGTCATTTGGAATCAGTAACAGGCTACAATTTGTAAGTAATCTACCCAGCTCTGCCACCTGAAATTATGATTTTAATGAGGTTTTGATGGGATCAGTGTGATATTAGCCGAGGTTGAGGTGAAGGTTGGGTGAGGTTAGGGTGTAGTTGAGCTGCTTTATTTTGGGCTTGTGTGTGTGTGTGTGTGTGTGTGTGTGTGTGTGTGTGTGTGTGTGTGTGTGTGTGAGGCCTGATGCTTTGTAAATGAGTCTGTTTGTATCATTGTACATGGCTTTAAATGAGAAGCTGCTTTAGTTAATGAAGGTTCAGCTAACACTATGTGGTGCCTTAATTAAAAGAGACAAAATTCATTACTGGAAAAATAATCACTTAAACAGATACTCCACTCACTGACTGTGCGTGTAGTGGGAGTTGAATCCTTTAAGTCAAGTCAAGTCATATTTATTTGTATAGCGCTTTATCAGCACAACACAGC